ATATATATATAGAAAGTGAATATGAAATATTACTAACAGAATAGAGACTGTTTATTTAGCAAAGCGAATACTCAATAATTTGAAGAAGAAAAAAGCTTTATTTACTTAAAGCAACCATGTATATTCTAGCACAATCCTACACTTTTCAAAGTACAACCCCATGGTGTACATAACTGGGTAGAAACTGGTAATTTTTCAAAGTGAATATTCACAGTTAGTAAATAAGGTGACATTTTTATTTTTAAAGCCCATCTCTGACCAAAACATGAACCTTCTACCACCCCTCCTTCCCACCCCCTTTAACTGACCACTGGCATGAAAAAAATAATCGAATGCCTTTTTTACTTAACTGAAGCTTGGTGAGATGACACTCCACTCCCAAGTTTTCTCTCCTCTTCTCTTTACACAAGGTCAAGTCTTTCTTCATGTGTCCATGACACTGCCTGCGTGATGTGGACACATTTCATTGGCTGTTTAGCAGCAGGGTCCTCTCAGGAACCAGAAGAGAAGTGACATCAGTAGGAGGGGACTGGCAGGCTTAGGCACAACTGTAGCACTGGATTACACCCAGAAACCATGCTAGGGAGTGACCTAGATGACAGAGTTAGGTGAGTATATTTTGCTTCAAGGTCATTTTTTGCCCAGAGAAAATGTTAATTTCTAAATCTAAGTCACAGATGGTAAATTTAGTGTTCTATGTAATTAGAATTAATCACTATGTAAATAATGCCGTTTTGCAGATTTTAAATGAATTTATCAAGGTTGAAGTGGACATGTACATTGTTGCAGTGGATGGTAAGTACATATGCTGCATCTACTGTGTTCACAATTGCTTCATGACTAAAACTACAAATGTAAAAAATATGTTTTTGTTACTGATTCTAGAACTGCTTCATCTAAACTAACCATGTAATAAATTGGGCCATTTAATAAAATCTGCACAATTCAGTAGGCCAAAATGACAACATTACCTAATAAATAATTACGCTAAAAAAATCTTATGTGACCTTATTCCCTAACCAGAGATCACATGTTCTCTGGCTACCAATAACTCGATGGAGTTTCTGTCATTAGAGCGTGTACAGAGTTTATTGATTTCTATCAGACAAGGTCAGCAAGGCACTAGTACTCTGCAGTACTGCTTAGCAGGAAGCAGTGCCTGCATATGTATTATGAAAATATGTTTGCCTCTCATGTACATTTAAAATCTAAATTTATCTTAAAACAAACATAAAGGCTATAATTCTCCTTCAAAGAGACACTGTCACATTGTCCATTCAGTGCAAAGCCCCTGCCCACTGATACTAACCTTTCCTTGTCGCTTCTTTATCGCAGGCATCATCAAGATATTAGACATGTAAATGTTGTTTCATTCCAAATAGACATTCGTACAAATAGTTAAATTCAGACATTCGGATGCATCTAAATTTCCGTATTCAAACACGTCCAAATGCAAACGAATCCAAATGCTTCTTTAACGAAAATTTGGATCTGTATGAATTTTGGTAAAAAGAAACTAAAACGGACATGTGACTGTTCTTTGGCCAATCAGATGTGTTTTGGCTGTTGGGGGTTGCATTACAGGCACAGTCATGCGACTTTGTGTTGTGGATCTTCCATCCGAAACAAAAGTTTGGATGGATACAAAACCCAAATAATGAACCAAATTGAATTTCGGATATGAAATCCGAAAAACAAAAGCAATAAAAATCTGAATCAATCCGAAACTAAACAATTTTTTTGCGGGGGTTACATGTCTCTAAGATACCCAGTCATTAACTGGTGTCAGACCTAGAGGAAGCAGTACAGGGCAGGTGTTACAAGCGATATTTCATTAAACACCCGGCCTTTCCTCTTTTACAAACATAATTTATACCTTTTTTTAATGTACTGTTTTTAACACAGTAATCAATCTCATAAGTCTAGCTGCTCAAATCAGAGGTCCAGCACAAGGCACAGTGTAGTAAACATGGTTCAGAGCAACATAGTTCTATATAGCAGCCTATTAAAGAGAATCTACCTTTACAATAAAATAAAGTGCAGGCACCTAGAGGTACCTGAACATTCTCAAAGAAGCCTCCTAAAACAACCAATCATGACTGAATCATGGCCCCTTTTTTTGGTAAAGTTTCAACACTTGCCACTGGGGATTGTCAGTAAGCCCCCATGTATCACTTTGATGATCACCTTTACTTGCAGGAAGCAGAAAGGGGTTGGCAAGCTTTGACATGATCAGGGTGTGATGAAGCTTTGTCAGAATGACCCAGGCCATGATGGAAGGGTTTGAAAGTTGCTGCAGGTATATGCAGGCCCTTTATACTTGCAGCAGTTTATTCTTTATTTTGATGGGGGATGTATTAGAGATTGTGCTTCACATACATCATTTGCTGACATAGAACACCTACCTTTTGGGCAGTAGCGCATGAGTCTTTGGGCCTTTTAGTAAAGGCGTTGTAATTCTGGTCTCGCAGTATGTGCAACAAATGGAGGAAGGAACTTATGACAGACTCATGTGCTTGTCAGTAAGGTGTATATGAAACTGTCATAGCTATGACAGAATTGTCACAAATATCTCTCCTGGTGGGTTTTCACAGGTAGAGAATCTATATGGAGTTGGTATAAGTTGGGAGAGCAATGGTATGTATCAAATATCAGTTACAGGTGAACTTAAGGACAAATTTGTTGCAGAATTGTTTCAAAGATGTCACACAATAATTACACTTGCAACACAATCAACATTGTACTCTAACATAGAAGAGATCTTATTTGCATCGACTTTCCTGATCATCGATATGGTAGTCATTTTTTAGAAATTTCTTGTAACAATAGCGTCATATAGTTAAATTGTTGCATATAAGGATTGCCTGAATTAGTTGACACACGTCAGTACAATGAAAATGTTTCAGGTTTTTATGAATTTGGGGCAAAGCTTCTGACTACGTAAACACCACCAGAAATGTGTCACAAATGCCTTACTGAATGAGCCCCCAATATTCCAAGGAATCACCCTCTCTGAATAAGCACTTCTGGGAAAGTGCCATTTTACTTTACCAGCCCGTAAATGAACTCCCTATATATGGATGATAGAAGATAAAACAAGCAGATCATAATAAAACACTGCCACCTAAATTAAATAAATGTTAACTGCTATGTGCATTGCAATGGAATAGTAACCAACTATTTATTTTTTATTTATCAGATTCTGTAATGGAGAAGTTAAAACGGAGCTCATTTTTTGATAATGACATTCAAACATCAATGTTTTTTCTCACTGTGCATGATGCCGTACTACATGTTCTCGAAAAGAAAGGCCTTCAGCTCGCATTAAAAAATGGAACCAGCAAGGTAACTCAAGTGCATGCTTTATTATCATATGACCCTTTAATCAAACATTTAAGCTTTTTTGATTTAGAAAAATGTAATAAGTTGGAAAATATAGTATATTACTACATTCCCACCATAACTAGCATGGCGTTGGATGGAACCTTTATGAAGTAGTCAATTACTGGTGCATGGATGCATACTGTAAACCACTTCCCTTCCCAATATAAACTGTTTTTAAATTCAAAGTCAATTACAACATTTCTTTACAATTTTTTAAGTTGTTTGAAGACGCTTAAATTAAACGATATGCCTCTCTACTGTTTTTATTTGATATATAATTTTCTTCAATCTTATGAGATATACAAAGGCATTTAAAGTAGAGTGTATGACTCCACTCTGTCTTTATTCCAAGTATTTGTAAATTCTCCAGCTTCAATGGGAGTCTGTTTTACTTCATGCCCTACCCTGGTGCTGTACACAGTTGGGAATACACTGGACGTAATATTCAGCATAATCTCCCAAAACCCATATCTGTTGGTTGCTGCATTGTATACTGCATGTGACTGTAAATCTAATTTTCCCATCTACAGACATGGGCTCTGTTGGCAGTACTTCTACCTTGTGGTCTTTCACTATGATTTTCCAATAAGCTCTTCTAATGTATGCCAGCAGCAGACATATTGCTTGTGCTGTCTGGCCAATTGCACACATTGGAACCAATGGCATTTCAAAGGAAATGTGGGCTTTTATCAGTAACATGATTGTGTGTCAAGACTATGATTAAAATAATTAAACAAAAAATCAAATGTATCTCAAATACAGCTGGCATAGAATTTATAATTCTGTCTTGATGCTAGCCTCCTGCAATCACCACGCAGCCTTGTAGCAGGAGATGCAGCACCTTCAACTTAAAAGCTCAACACAAAGGATGTGCACAGGCATAACCTAATAAGCCTGTTCTTTCATTGTCTAATGAGCAGGCTGGGTGTAAAGATGTGATTAAAGGTGCCCATACACTGTTTGATTCTTGTACGAGAATCAGGCGAAATCCCGCGATCGTACGAGATTTGAGCAGTGTGAACGAAGACGTGCGACCGTTTCTACTGTACGGTCGCACGTCTTTTGTCGAACCAACATGCTCGAAAACCCGCCGAGAATCGTACAATTGTCGGCGGGTTTCTAGCCTGCTCGTCCGATAGCTGCGGAACGGGCCGGTGTGCGCACACGCACACTGCCCGTTCTGCATTGCCGTCATCGGAAGCCCGCCCCTCAGCAGGGCGGGCTTTCGATGATCGCAAGTACGATCTGCCCGTCCAAGGTGGGCAGATCATACGAGCTTTCAATAAGCATACGACCATCGCAAGACAAAAGTCTTGCGATGGTCGTAAGGTGTATGGGCACCTTTAGAAAGCAGAGCTTCAATAGACATTTTTTTTTACTATAATCAACCATCAGGTGTATGATATTACCATGACAACAGGGGCATATAACAGACCCAGAGAATATGATATTTGTCTCAAGTTCTGCTTTAATTTTTCTGACTGTTATAGTGGTGGCTTATAGTGGTTGGCTCTTGAAGTGATGCTTCTGAATCTGAAATGTCAGTGAGGAAACATCAGTCATTTATGTCAGTGACTTTACATTGCAGCACCAAGATTGTATACCAGAACACTATTAATGTGGAAAAATGGCAAATGGATGGTCCACTTTATTGTCAGCCCCTGCACCCTCATTACAATAGCTTTAAACCGTAAAAAAAAAACAACAAAAAAACGTATCCCTGGTTTTCTGGGAGCTCAAAATCCTTTTAGAATTTACTCTGTCAATGGACTGATTCTAGCTTCCAACTCTGCCAGGAGATGCGGCAGTGTCACCAGCTTCTTTGGGAAGCATCAGAAGGCAGACATTCAGCGGCGTATTTAACTTTGCTGCTGCCCTAGGCAAGGCAGCGGCGCCTGGGGGGGGGATGTGCAGCTTTGTCCTAGGCAAGGCAGCAACGCCGCCCTCAGCGAATCTGCCACTCCAGGCAAACGCCTTGTTTGCCTCGCGGCAGATACGCCCCTGCAGACATTATGTCAGCAGACGTAAAGACAAACCTCCTTTTTTGTCTTTTCCACAGGCAATACTATGATATTGGATTGGTTACTTATATGATAACAAACCTTCAAAGTGAACCTGTAAGTGTAGAAACATAGGTGTTGCCATTATTGACTTGTTTTTTAAAGGTGTAAGATTTTTACTTAATCCAGGTTTCACAACCACATCACTCACTGGCCTGGATCAAGTGATCAAGGCAGGAGTGTAGACTTTTCAGACTAAGCTGGCTGCATGCTTGTTCCAATTAAGTGACTTCCTAGGTAGTGAAGCAAAACATATGGCAAATGCACTCATCAACTTATCACCAGCTTTAAAACAAGGTGCACATGGAAGGGCTTTATACAGTGCAACAGCAAAATGTTTCCCAGCACACTCACCAGCCAGCATGCAAAAAAAACGTGCCTACCACTAGGGTTAAAAACAGAGGTTTAGATACACGTCTTCTGCAGAATATGTGAAAGCAGCACAGCCGCGCCAAGGCACCTCTATATAGTGTGGTCCTAACTCTAATCTATGAGAGTCTCCATCTTGGAGCACATGTAGCAAAAGATAAAATTGGGTGCAGATTTGCCAGGAGGCAGCCCAACCTCCTTAAAGGCACAGGGACACACAAGGGACCCCGCACATCACAACGGCAGCTCTCAAAAGATAATCTGGCACCTGATTTGGTGCAGTGACACATTGGTGCCCTCAACTGCCGTTGTGATGTGCGGGGGTTAGGACCGCACTATATAGAGGTGCCCTTGCGAGGCGGTGCAGCTTTCACATATTCTGCAGAAGACATGCATCTAAAACCTCTGTTTATAACCTTAGTGGTAGACATGTTTTTTTGCATGCTGGCTGGTGAGTGTGCTGGGAAACCTTTTGCTGTTGTTCCTAGGTAGTAAAGCACCAAAATTTCGTAATGTTGTGTCTTTACATAATTACATAGTATTTGAGGTTGAATAAAAGCACAGGTCCATATAGTTCAATCTTTGAGAGTGTGTGTGTGTATGTGTGTATATACTAGTTTGTGTGTGTTCCAGCCATTAAAAGTACCTGTGCCCCTGTCTTTAACACAGGAAAACAATATTCCTACCTTTGCAAATGGAGTTACAAATGGAAACATCTACAGTGAAGTCTTTGATGTAAGTTAACATGGTATCCTTAAGAGTTTATTAAACATGGTGTGCAATAAACAAAATACCAAGGACAAATCACAACAAAATCACAATTTGTGATCATGATTATTTTAATGATTTCTCCTTTTTTCAGAAAAAACCCCAAATTAAATATAAACTTAAAAACTGTCAGAAACAAGAACTGCTTTGTTATGATTAGTTAAAGTAAACCAATGCCCAGATCATGCACACCAAAGTATTTACATATTCTGAACAATTGTTTTCTATATGCCCTGTTCACACCAACGCACGGCTGTGATGGGCAGTGTACTGCACTGTGCAAAAATGCACCTCAGGTCACTGTAGCACACCACATTGCTGTGCGGGGACCTAAATGGAGTGTACACATCGTACATTACCGATAAAGTTAAGAAAAAGGGGGAAAAAAATTTAAACAGTGACAGCTCTGGTAGTGTGCAATACAATGTACACTGTTGGAGCTGCCACAATGCACTATCCTGTCTGCTAAGCAAGATTCTATGAACCATTGGGGGATCAAACCTGCACAGTTTTACCCATAAATAATGGTGACCAATTTGTCCCTTTTCGAAGTTCAATATATGACTTTTTTTTATTCCCCACTAAGTCCAAAGTTCTGCAGGGATAGCAAGCTTTCAACATGTTCAGATTTATTTATACATTTACATAAACATATCAGTTAAGGATTGGGTCATTCTATGTGGGGCCTGCGAGGATAGAAATACATATGCTGCCATTCCTGGCATGCTTTAAAAATGCAGGTTCCAGGGTTGTCACTGATATGAAATAAGCATGCAGCCAGGGAAGTTTAAAAAGTCTGACAGGGTTATTCACAAAAGGGTGAAGAGTTTGGAGAAGGTAGGAGAAGTGGACACTCTAGGACAAAGTAGCTGAACTGTAAAGTGAGCTGAATTGGAGAATTTTTCCAAATCAGCTATGTTGTCCTAGATTGTTCACTTCTCCTGCCCTCTCCAAACTCTTCACCCTTTTGTGAATAACCTTGTAAATGTTTATTGCGAGTCAATGTCTTTCTAGGTAGTAAAGCTTAAAAAAAAAAGTATGGCAGTCCTGGGGCCCTCACCTTTCAAATTAAGTCATCAGTGCCATATTTCTGTCCGCAGAGGTTCACTTTAAATACAAGGCTCCAATAAACTACAGTTCAATATTCTTTAATGAATGTATGTAGATTTTGGTATTTTTAATGCCATACTCTTATTCATAGCTCTGTATCTGTGTTTGCTTTTCAGGTGCCAAATGAAACTAAATTCTAAGGTGAATCCTGTACAGTAATTTTCATTGAACGACTGACCCAAAACCTGACATTCTACACAGGAAGAGGACATTACGGGAATTAATACTTTACCATGACTGGAAGGCTGTTAGGGAAATAACCAATGTGAACAATATGCTTTGCTTGTAAATGCAGCTCATTTTACAACATTTTAAAATTATGAAATTTTTTAATAAATATAGATTTTTCAAAAAGAAGAAACATTTGCTATTAAATGAGACAGATCTGAGCAATATATTGAACTGGTTCTTATTTAACCACTTATTGTATATGTATTTATTTTTATTGATGTTGTACAAATAAAATTTAATGCACTGCTTAGAGAACAAATAATTGACAATATTAAAGACCTTTCCTGAAATTGTGTGTAAATGTCAAACCTTGACTGTTGCTTCAGGCTTCCACATATATATTGAGTCTGATTTACCAAAGTTGGCAATTTTAATAAATAATAATACATTGTGTGAATCTTCACTTCAATTATCCAACAATCATAAAAAGCAAATTTCTGTTTACTTATTTCACCTGCACACAACTGGATAATTGAAGTTAATATTCACAAAATTGATTTTGATTGATTTACTAAAGGATTTGGCAATCTTCACACAATACGTTCTGTGAACATTCAATGTGCATATTTAGCATTAATGGATCACATAATTTATTGGGTGGAGATTTACAGTTAATTAACTAAATGAGCCCTGTTAGCTAACGAGGCCAAGCTGTGTTAATTAGGGTCAAGTTATTTTAAGATTAATTTACACTAATTGTGAATGTGCGTTTAAGGATTCCTGCAGCAGAAACCTACTAATCGTGCTGCCAAAAACCCAAATCTGAGGTGTACAAGCGGTTGTTTTAGGATTCATTCACACCGGGTGTGAATGTACCTTTAGGGATTCCTGCAGCAGAAACCTATGATTCCTGTGGCCAGAAACCCCATGTACAAGGGCCAATGTCACCCGTTCAAGATAATGATCGGGTGACAGCAGTCACATCTAAAAGTGGCAGCCCACAGGCACTCCGCATGTAATCGTATGTATTCCACAATCGTAGGAAGAGATCATTAACAATTGTTGCATCTAGGGATAGTGATCTCTTCCTAACTGCATGTAATTTTATCACGTACTGTACAATTACATGCGGAGTGTCAGCAGACTGTCTCAAATGTGGCCACTGTCACCCGGAATTGAATATTTGCGATACCTAAAACGCACATTCACAACTATTGTGAATTTAGCCTTACTCTCTTGATGCTAAAAGAATTAACCAATTGCTGGCAGTCACCTGAATAGGCTAGATGAGATTTTAAATCGTCATGCATTTCTCAGTGTTAAAATAACGTACTTATCCAGCAGCCTCTACTCTATCACAGCAGTTAGTTAAAGGGTCAAAACTAAAAATAAATATGTATTTCTATATTGAAGTTCAATCCCACTCCTAATAACCATATCATTGTAGATGTTTGCTTACCTTTTGAGGGCGCCCATGAGATGTACTTCCACAGTGCATTGACATAATCTCACTTAGCCCTGTAAAATTGCACTTCTTTGTGTCACAATTCACAGAGCCTTCCTTCTGAACTACAACTCAATGTCTGAACAATGCAACATTATTATTGCTTGTTGGAAGCAATGCATTATTGGCTCTGTAGCCTCGAGAAATTGAGATTGCATCACATCAAGCAGGATGTAAAGAGATGCAAAGCACACTGCGAATCCAGGAAGTTGCTGGAAGTGATGAGCAGATGGAAGGCAACACAACTATAATATGTATTACTATTACAATGCTGATGTTAGTGCGCATATATCCTTGTCCTGACAACCATCATCATATCTAAGGAGAGGAATTTCTAAAAATACAACCCCAATTCCAAAAAGGTTGGGACACTGTGTAAAATCTACATATAAACACAATGCAATGATTTGCAAATCTCCTGAACCCAATACAAAATAGAAAACATAAGAAATGTTTAAACTGAGAAAATATACAATTTTAAAAAAAAATGATGGCAGCAACACATCTCAAAAAAGTTTGGACAGGGCAATAAACAGTTGGCAAAGTAAGTAATACTAACAAAGAAGAGCTGGAAGAACATTTTGCAACAAATTAGGTTAATTGGCAACAGATCAGTAACGTGATTGGGTATAGAAAGAGCATCTTAGAGAGTCAGAGTGTCCCAGAAGTAAAGATTAGCAGAGGTTCACAATTTGTGAAATACTGCATCTAAAAAATGTTTTGAACAATATCAAAATAATGTTCCTCAACATAAAAATGCAAAGACTTGAAATATATCATCATCTACAGGTGTGAATGTGCATTTAAGGATTCCTGCAGCAGAAACCTACGATTCCTGCGGCCAAAAACACAAATCTGACGTGTACAAGTGGTTGTTTTAGGATATATTATCATCTACAGTACATATTATCATCAAAATACTCAGAGAAACTGGAGAAATGTCTGTGCGCAAGAGACGCCCATGATCTTCGGGCCCTCAGATGGCACTGCATTAAGAACAGGCATAATTCTGTGATGGACATCACTGCGAGGGGTCAGGAGTACTTCCAAAAATCACTGTCTGTGAACACAGTTCACCGTGCCATCACAAAATGCAAAATAAATCTATCATGCAAAGAAGAAGCCATATCTGAACATGATCTGGAAATGCTGCCATCTTCTCTGAGCCATAGCTCATTTAAAATGGTCTGTTGCAAAGTGAAAAACTGTTTTGTGGTCAGACGAATCTAAATTTGACATTCTTTTTGGCAGCCATGGAAGCCGCATCCTCCGGACTAAAGATGGGAGGGACCTTCTGGCTTCTTATCGGTGGTTAGTTCAAAAGACTGCATCTTTGATGGTATGGGGGTGCATTAGTGCATCTGGAATGGACATCTTGCACATCTGGAGTGGCACCATCAATTGTGAAAAAAATATTCAGGTGTTAGGGCTTGTTCACGCGATGCCCGGATTCTGTCCGTACCAGAACCGTGCGCTCCTGCACCCAAAATGCATCCCAATGTCTCCCTATGTGTTTTATGGGCTACAGTTCTCACCGGCGCAGTCCGTTCCGGTCCAGACAGAAAAAAATACTGCATGTCACATTTTCACCGGAAACGGACCGGAAATGCACGGACGCGTCGAAAACGCACCGCACTGCAGCTAACATACTGACAGTCCCACTTTTAACTGGAACGCGGTAAAAACGCGTCAAAAACGCACTCCACACATAGCACAGCGTCTGCAGATCTGCTCCAGATCTGGACCAGAAAATGGTGTGAACAAGCCCTTAGAGCAGCATACGGTCCCATCCAGACAATGTCTTTTTCAGTTAAGGCCTTGCATATTTCAGCAGGACAGGGCAAAACCACATACTGCATCTATGACAACAGCATGGCTTCGTAGTGGAAGAGTCCAGGTGCTTAACTGGCCTGCCTGCAGTCTAGTCCTTTCACCAATTGAAAATATTTGGCACATCTTGAAAGGAAAAATATGACAAAGAAGACCCAGAACTGTTGACCCAGAAGCTCAGTCTCCAACACATTCAAGTTAGGTAAAAATATTTTTTTTCGACTATTGGTTAGCTGTTTACTACTTTGTAAAAATTCATCATCTAAAAATAAACCATGACCACTAATTTAACAATGAGAATTGACAGTATAGTGCCAGTAAAAATTGTAGGGGGACAGTGGTGGCAATGTTGGTATTGGCAGTCGCATTTGTGCCTGAGGTAAAAAGAAGAGCCATACAAGGAATTTGTTTAGATGACTCTAAAAAAAGTAATCCGGAGACAAGCAGCCTAATTGCTAAAAAAAAATCTCCCCAACCTCCTGAAAACATAAAAAGTATTACAAATAAAAAATGATTTTCTAATATATCAATGGTAGATTGCTTCCCCTATCACTCCTTTTGGCTTATTGCTGTTTAGTCTGGGTGTGAAATCTAATAAGGCAGTTATTGTCTTAGTGGCTTTATCATTTTTATATAGCTTTATTTTTCTTTATCTATTATTCTTTCTTGCAGTGCAAATCATGCAGAAGTAAATGTCAGAGGAAAGAACTGTTTTTGCTGCCCATTGCAGTCAGAATCTTTGATTTTTCCATGCTGAACCTACTAATTCCAGGAGAGGGAGCTATGCAACAACTTTGAACAAGTCCTTTAATACAGATAAATGTAATTTTCATTGTCTGCTTGCTCCAAAGTCCAGGTTCATGCTTCAGTATGATAGTACTGTCCCCAGGTAAAATTGGTGGATCTAGGTGGATCCTTTATGTTGCCAGCAGATGGCAGAAGGTTATTACTGAGACACAAGCTCTGGAAGCTCCTTGCCTACACTACTAGAGCACATAATAGTGGATTTGGCTGTTGGACAAAGCCTGTGAGATTGCAAAAATTATAGTTATTGGTACTGTGGCCTAACATGTGCAATTGAACATTTTACCTTAATATCCATAAAAATAATAAATGCACAATAATTTTAACTAATTTTCTTGCTCAAAAACAAAGGTTAAAGGAGAACTATAGGGATAAGTGTTTTTCCCCATAGTTCTCTTAAGGGTCACTCGAGGACACAAACTAGCGTCCTTCCATGACCCAAAGCTTAGTATACCGCGAGCTACAGCTCACAGTATACTGGGACCGCCGCAGCCGGGACGGATGCTGACATTACTGTCTGGATCCACCCAGCTGTGTGATTGACAGCTGGCTCTGCCTATCTAGAGGCAGAGCCAGCTGTACCTGCCCCCTCCCCCGGCCGTTCCGCCAGTCAGCGCTGGAGGATTGGACAGGGGAGGGGGAATCCCTGCAGGGAGCCGTGAGTGACAGTCACAGCTCTCTGCAGGGACAGGGTCGAGAAGTGAGCGAACGACGGTATGTGTTCGCTCACTTCCCGATCTATTGAGCCAACGTGTGACATTTTCATTGTCACACGTCGGCTCGAACTATGAGGCTGGGTGATTTTCACTCACCTCATAGTTCTCCTTTAACGTGAGCCTATGACAGGACTATGCAAATAAATCATTTACATTTTGTGAACAAGCAGTAAAAGCACACTTTATGATTGGAGGAGGAAAGACAATTTTACATCCCTCCCTCCTCTCCTTCCCCAATCACAGAACGCCTGGTATTCTTTTTGAATACAAGGCATTTTGTGAAAGGGCAGGTAGTGAGGAGGGGGGGGATGTGACTGTAGCACTTCACTACTTAAGTTGCATCAAGTGCCCAGAAGCTGGACTGTTATGTGTAGGAGCCGGCATGCTGCAAGTTAAGAATTTTATGCTTTGTAGCAGCCCTCAATACATGACACACAGCTTTTTAATGATAACTTACACACCCACAGTGTGTATATTATCATGTTTTTCCAGATTTTGCCTTTAGTAGCTCAATGACTGGTTTTATTTTTATGCCTGTAATTACTCTTTAATTCCTAACCAGAACCGACTACTTATAAACCAATTAGATTTCAATTTTTACTACGGTAGTTACATGTACCTTTATTAATGAAAGAGGGACTTTGACTAGTTGCTATAGAAATGACTGAAACTTAAACACCGGCATACTGGCTCTCCTTTATCATTTCTTATGGGGATTCATTAGCTAAATAAATTCCTCTTTCTACTGTGTAACCTGATTTGATTATTGAATATTTATAGAACTGAAAATCAGCATGAAACATTAAATATGCAATGTACAACTACCTGAGAAGTGAACTTTTATTACTGTGTATTAGTAGTTAATGACATCTGATCCTTTCTAGACGTAATGTACCCTCCTTTCCATCCAGTCATCTGCTACGTAGAAATGAACCACAATCATGATACCACACATCAGGAAATATTTGGAAGTGATGACTGAGAACATAAGAAGTCACTACATGGTGGCCAGGCCCATCTACTCAGAAAATGCTTTCTCTGCAAAGCATAAAAAAGTCTTCAGGTATCATAAAACTCTTCTGGATCATTTCAAGGAGTGCTTTCGGTAAGTGTATATTTCTTATGTTTCAAAGAGGCAATATATTTTTCAAAATAGTGACTGATCACAGAGGAAACTATTAAAAGACCTCTGTCCTGAGAGAACTATGCAAACTGTCATTGCTGACCTCCTTATGATGATGTAAATTGTGTAGCTGTTATGTTGATCCTCTTCTATCAGTAATTTTCCATTTATTAGCCTGGAACATGTACACTGTCTTCACTTGTAGTGTTCTTGCTTTGGATCAATTACTTAGTATTTTTAGTAGAGTCAGCATGGGTGCTTTTGTCATTGCAGGTGTTCTTGTAAAAGAATGACAGACTAAGGGGTCTATTCACAAAGCTGCCGAGGGCAGCCGAGTGAATGACCGATCAGAAGTGAAGTGAGCCGAACACCGTTCGGCTATTCACTTCAGGCTGGTACGGCTGATTTCAGCCGTATATCGGCTGAAATCAGCCGTACATCGGCTTGCTTCGTGTGGCTTCGGATCAGCCGAACATGCTCAGCATGTTCGGCTGACCCGAAGTGCAGAAGGAGTTCGACTCAGCCGATCCAACATCTGGATCGGCTGTCCAGCCGTAAGATCACGGCTGGCTCCACCCAGCTGTCAGAAGCAGGCTGTCGGCCGGCCAATGGCCGGCCACTCGGCCAGCTTCGTCTTTCAGCACGGCTCAACGCTCGACTGAGCCGCTCGGCCGTGATCGGGTGTGTTCGCCGGAATACTCGGCTGGGATCGGTTAGGTTCGCCGGGTTGCTCGTCTAAGATCGGGTGTGTTCGCCGGAATGTTCGGCTGATGTCTCGGTCGTTGGGTTCGGCTAATGGTTCGGCTGCTTTCGCGGGCTGTACGGGCTTTTGTGAATAGCCCGTACAGCACCCCCTCGGTTCTCCTGAACCGAAGGGGTCCTGGTGCCGAAGCTAGCCGAAGGATCCTTCGGCAGCTTTGTGAATAGACCCCTAAGTCTTCTGCCTAGCCTATGGGCAGTCTACCTTTTACATGATAGTGTCACATTAGGATAGGCAGATTCCACCTTACTGGAGACTGAAGTAAGAACTTACTGTACCATAAAGTTTTCTATGTTTGAATGATACTTGTTATTGCCAATCACAGTGTTACTATTGTCATGCTGTATGTTCCTGGTCACGATTCTGTATTTATATTTGTCAATAACTGTGGTATAAGTATAATTCCTATTTAAATGTCAGTGTTACCTGACATTAAAGTCAGTCTACTATCCCATGTCAGCTAACATGGGATAGTAGAAGTAATTCCCTCACCTAAGAAGCAATTGTTTTTTATCCAACCCAGATTTTGTGTACTGTGAGGACTCTGATAAGCTGAGTTATGTTACATTAACATATGTGATGCTATGCCTATTGGGAATGTGCATTTGACGGGGTTTGCTCCTTTCTGGTCTAGCTCTTATTGTAGATGTTACGGCTGCAATTATTAATTTGAATTATTTTCCTTCAGGAAGACATTACACCTATAGTATGTCAAAATATAAAACATGTTGTATAATCCCCAACAGGCTATGTACATTCAAATATTTCCATATTAATAACAAGTATACAAGCTAAAAACAAGCCATAACTGACATATGTAGGTGCAGGCACTGTGGAGATGTGACAGGAAATCCACAATTGTAGAGTCATGGGAGCAGGCAGTGAGGAGAAATCTTGCATCGATGACACTTGTTTTGGTGACAACTTTCTAGGAGGGGAATTCCTTGACTTTAAAGAGCTTTCCTCTTACCCAGGGTTCACATTCTATGTATTTTCTTAAAACCAATGCTGCAAAAATTGTAGTGAGTACACTTTTATTAATACATTTTATTTATTTTCATGCAGATGCCCCACAGGTAAAGTCAAGAGAACTGCATTTAAATTGATACCAGTTGCTTCTTGGCTGCCCATGTACAATCTGAAGGAATGGCTCCTTGGTGATATGATCTCTGGCATCAGCACAGGAATGGTGTCTGTTTTGCAAGGTAACATTATGCATATATCTGCAAATTTATTTATATTTTCCCATTATTTTAATATTGTCTTCAGAATATGCATATTGCATCAGATGTGAACTTGATTCAGCATAAATCAGTAAGCTAAAAAGGCCATTGTTACCCCAATTACCCCAATATCCACTATCTATATTATGTTTTTTGGGTTAAAGCTAGGATTAGTTAGTGATGGGGAGGGGGTGGTTAAGATCTCAGACATTATTTTAGGGCATGGTTAAGTGTTACATGTTAATCATGTAGGGGAGGGTTAAAGTGTATGTATTGACAAAATGTATTTTAAGTTTTGTATAGAGTAAGGAAGGGTCAAAGCCCCTGTCAGTTTATTTTTTGCTGTCTGTGTCCTGCTGGGGAGGTTTAAACTTTATTTCCTGTTCTGGAGATGCAACAGAAATTGAGAGTAAATCTCTGCAAAGTGAGAGGAATTCCTCTCCTAGATAACTGTCACCAGAACAAGTGTCCCCATTGGATTGTGTATTCTGCCTGATTGTATTAGCACAGGTGTGTGCGTGTGTGTGTGTGTGTGTGTAAAGAAATAACACAAAATGGGGTATGTTGATTCCTGTTTTCTAGGCTTGGCATTTGCTCTTCTGGTAAATGTGTCTCCAGCTTATGGACTCTATTCCGCTTTTTATCCCATGATAATATATTTTTTTCTTGGAACATCTAAACATATCTCCATTGGTAAGTAAAATTGTTCTTTTACAATTATCATCCTTTATTAATAAAATTACAACATATGACACAGTGCTGAACATGATACAATAAAAGATTGCAACCCCTAAACAAAACTGGTACAAGCACATGACACAAGAAGAGAGTAGAGTTCTGCTCAAACAAGAGAACTATGGGGTAAACTTTTTATACCATAGTTCTCTTTAGGATCACAGGAGGACATTTCACAACCTCCTCCAATCACCCAAAGCTCAGTATATAGCGGGTTATTGCTCGGTATATACTTAGAGTGCCGCAGCCGGGACTGATCCCGACAATACTGTCGAGATCCACCCAGCTAGCTGATTGACAATGGGCTCTACCTATCTAGAGGCAGAGCCAGCTGTGCCCGACCCCTCCCCCATCCATTCCCCCAGTCAGTGCTGGAGGATAGGAGATGGGAGGGGGGATCCCTGCGGGGAACGGTGACTGACAGTCACCACTCTCTGCAGGGAGTTGATCGGAAAGTGAGTGAGCGACGGTATGCTCTACCACCTGTCTGCCACACGTCTGCTCTAACTATGAGGATGAGTGAAAATCACTGACCTCATAGTTCTCCTTTAAGGGAACACTTTTAGCTAATATTATATTTGGCTTAGGTTTGTGTGTGCGAATAGAAATCCAACACAGGCAAAAAAAGTTGTTTGGGAGAGCCTGTACCCTAAACGCAGTATGAAAAGCCATTCTGTGTACTGATACATTATATATCACAACATACATTAGGTTGATTATTCAATATGTTATGTCCACAATATCCATACAAAACATGATACAGTATACTGAACTTCCTTCTGAATGTAACTGTAAGAAATGGCACAAACTACTGTTAAAATTATATGCAACTACAGGTATGTAATTGTTTTAAATCTCTTTTAGGTCCATTCCCTGTTTTAAGCTTAATGGTGGGGTCAGCTGTGATGAGGTTAGTCCCAGACCCTGTCGATGAGGATGGAACAGTGAATTATAACATATTAAATGGCACGGATGAATTAACAATTGCTGAGCAAAGAGTTCTTGTTGCTGCATCTGTTACAGTACTTGTTGGTATATTCCAGGTCAGCATTTTACCCATGTAGCACAAAATATATTATGACATTGGACTGGTAATTGTTATCAAGTGTATAAGAACTTTTAGGCATGTGACATATTTTTACATGAATTGTGAACGGCACCTAAGAATATGGGGCATATTTAGATTGCTTAAATTTACTATGTAAGTAGTACTCCTAAGAATGAGATCCTAATAGGTTGGACTTGATGAACTAATGTCTTTATTCAACCTCAAATACTATGTAACTATGTAAAAACAAACATATATGTTGCTGCCAAGAACTTGCTGTTGAGGACTGGGAGATGGAGAATGTCAGAGCCTAATAAACTGTATGGTGTGGATCCTCTTTGTCACCAGTGGTAGGCATAGGGACCAGGTAATCTGATTTTGATACTCCCACGTATCACATACTGGCCCGTTCGGCATTTGTCTCTCGAGCATGCCACAAACCAGCCGAAAATCGTAAGATTTTCGTCTGGTTTTCGAACATGCTCCTTAGACAAAAGACGTGCGACCGTACAGTAAAAACGGCCGCACACCTGCCATACACTTTGCGATTATCGTACGATCGCGGGATTTCCCACGATTATCGTGCGTTAATCGCAAAGTGTATGGGCACCTTAGGTTTGATTTGTGAATTATCTGCCGAACCCATGGTAAAGTCCAAAATTGTGAACTTAAAGGGGTTCTAAACCCTCCGTTTTTTTGCCTATATCTACTGCTAGGAAGCAGTAGATATAGGCAAAACGTTTTTTTTTAATGCCTTATAAGAGGTTTACACTTACCTCGTTATCGCTGCGCGCTCCCGCGCCGAGAATCAGGAACTGCTCAGGAACTGCTCAGGAACAAAGGATCTTGGGGCGGGCGCATGCCCAGTTCGGATTCTCGGCCGGGAGACGAGCAGAGACGCAAGGTAAGTCTACAGACGCGTGCACCCGCATGCAGACACCGCTGGATCGGAGGGACAGAGCAGTCAGTGCTGGATCGGAGAGCCGCCGCACCGCTGGAGGGACAGATGAAAACATCAGGAAAGAAGAAGAAGATCGGAATAAGATACATCATTTAAGGTAAGTGCTAACATTTACATGGGGGGAGGGAATTTTTTTTTGACTTTAATGTCACTTTAAGC